CAACCCTAAAAGGCCAAAAGAACCCGCCCTCTATTCTCTGATCATCCATTTGATGACATGTGGGTGTAGACATTCCTTTGTTCTGTCACTCCATGCGGAAGCCCCTGATTCTTTCCTGACACACCATTCAACAGCGAATACAGTGTGGATTATGACAAATCCTATCATGTTTTAAAACACAATCTGAATACTTTCTGTGACTGGCTAACCGGACAGTGTAAAATCCTTGGCTATTGGCTAGTTTGTTTGTTTTTGTTTTAATTCTCCTGGAAGGCTTATAAGTGTTGATTCCATCGACTGAAGCTTTCCCCTTGATTTAAGGTTAACCGAGCACAGATTGTTCCTTGCTGTTTTCCTTTAGATCCGGGCGTGGGGGTTATCTCCAATGTTTCCTTTAAGCTGTGGAGTCTTGTGAGCAAAAATTCTACTTTGTGAGCTACTGGCATTAAAGTTGTGAGCGAGCGATTTGGCTGCTGCATGAATTAGTTTGCTCCGGAGCCCTCCTTCCTGAGCTAAGGCAAAAATGTGTGAGACGGAGGCTAAAAAACAGTGCGCTAGCTCACACTAACTCGGCTTAGAGGGAACACTGGTAGGAGGCCCAGAGTTAGCCCGGGCAGCTAGTTAGTGACAGAGCATCACTTGCCCCAGAGTCCCTATCTATACCTTGTGGCTAATAGCCACTGATGGACCTCTGCTCCATATGCTTATCTAATTCCCTCTTGAAGCTGTCCATGCTTGTAGCCGCCACCACCTCCTGTGGCAGTGAATTGTGGGGAGAGGAAGGGAACACGGAATGCTTCCCTTCCTCTCCCCACAACAGACACCCTGTGAGGTAGGTGGGGCTGATAGAACTCAAACTGTGACTGACCCAATCAATGCTCCCTCTAAGCGGTGGAGTCCTGTGAGTAAAAATTCTACTCTGTGAGCTACTGGCATTAAAGTTCTGAGCAAGCGATTTGGCCACTGCATAAATTAGTTTGCTCTGGAGCCATCCTTCCTGAGCTAAGACAGAAATGTGTGAGCTGGAGCCTAAAAAATTGTGAGCTAACTCACACTAACTTAGCTTAGAGGGAACAGTGGACCCAATGTCACCCAGCTGGCTGCCTGTGGAGGAGTGGGGGAATCAAACCCGGTTCTCCAGATTAGAGTCTGCAGCTCTTAACCACGACACCAAACCGGCTCTCCTGCGTGTCCCCAACATGACCTCTGTCATCTCCTCAAGGACCAAGTAGGAAGAACTGGTTATCCTCATCTTCCCACGAGAAGCAAGAACAAGCGAGAAATGAGATTCTTTGAAGACCAAAGTTTTATTTAAGAATAATCCATGTTTAAATTATTTGGCTGAGTGTATAATAAAAAGGAAACAAGAAGGCCCACCAAGGTTGGATCAAAGTGGGGAAAAGACACGTCTCGGCAATTCGACCCCATCCCCCCCACCCCTCAAATAGGGAGCTGTTTACTGAGTTAAAAGGCAACATGTGAGTGTAGTGAAAAGGCAAGGTAGCTCAGGCTGAAACACTGATCCCCTCCTACACTAGAAACCTATATCGGCCACTTGAAGTAAAATGGCTTCCTCCAAAGAACCCCGGGAATTGAAGCTGGTGAAGAAATTAGCATTTCTTTGATAGAGATCCTGTTCCCATCCTTGTTACAGAATGACTGGTCTGGTTGTCCCGGGAACACGGAATGACTAGACGTCTGCAGCGTGGCTGTGCTTTACTGCACGTCAGCGCTTTCGAAATCTCCGCCACAGGTGGCACCAGAGGCTCTTCTTTCAATGGCGATGTTCTTACACTAATAGGATGTCTGACTGTATGAGAATGCATTTGTCCCAACTCCAAGCAGGGCTTCCAGAATCACGGAACCAAAACCCATTTCACAATGTAAAAGCTATTCGAGCAGATATATCGGGAGGAACCGGACTGCCCCCAAACTCAAGAACCGAATTGCTTGTTGGTTACCGAGCTTGCTTTATTATTAAAAACGTTGAACTGCGTAAGCTGTAGCTTGAGTTGTCGCTGTGGTCACTCTACATTAGAGAGGCTGGGAGGGTTCCCTCCAAAAACCCCAGTTTAAAGTGATTCCCCCCCCCCAAGGCACACAAGGTTTCCCATATCCATCAAATCATTTCGCCCCGCCCACCAGGCATGGATATAAAAGGTTGTCATTCTACAGAAAGGATTTTTTAAATGTTTTTTCCCCTCTCGCATGTGCAAGATTCATAGCAACCACACAGAAGGGTGGAAATGGCTAGAGCGAGATCTAAATCCTTCGAAGCAAGAAAAAATGAGTGATTTTTAAATTTTAGGACACCAGATTCTGAACTATTTTTCACATCCCACTTTTTTCCCCCTTCCAAGATCAGGCAACAAGCATGCAAGCAGATCAAACGTATTCCTCCCACATATAAAAACCAAGAGTTGACGGTGCTTGCTCTGAAAATGAAGTTCAGACAGGAAACCCAAAGGGGAAGATACAGGATCAGCTATTGGTTATGTGTCAGTCGCATCCCTGATGGCTTAGGTGAGTTTGGTGCCCTGTTAAGTTTTTTTTTTCCTTCTTCCAGATTTGGCCGCTAACGCCTCCTTTAGCATTAAGACTGTTTAAAAACAGTCCGACGACTCCAGCGCAGCTATAGGTTAACAAAATGGCGGTTGTTGTAGATGGTGCTGATTGACAACAGTTCGGGTTTAGGGTTGCATGCGTTTTATCCTACAGGGCCTTAGAAGGGTGAAAGTAAATTACAGTACTTGAGACAGAAGTCAGGAATGAATTATGAGGTTGGGTTTGATTTGTAGATGAAACACCATAACAATAGCTGGATAACAAGGAGTGGAAGCAGCCCAGCCTGAGGTCCAGTTGAAGAGCTGGTTGCTACAGGGAGAAAGAGAGAGAGAGAGAGAGAAAGGGAGAGAAAACCCATTAACCATATATGAAACAAGCAAAGTCTGCATTTCTTGTCTGACGGACCAAAGCTAGTACAAACTTTAACACAGGAGTCCAGCGGCACCTTCAAGACTAACAGAATTTATTCCGGCGTAAGCTTTTGTGAATCAGAGTTCCCTTTGTCAGATTACAGGAGTGCATCAGGTCCGATTTATAAATACACAATAAAAATATGCAAGGGGGGGGGTGTTACAAAGAGAGGCCAGCTCAAAACAGGATTCTGTCCAGAAAGACTTAAAAGGTCCACTCGGCACGGGCGTGGAACACTTCCAAGCATTGGCTAGTCAAAATATAAAATGTTGTGGTAGGATGAAGCGGACACAATATGAATTTTTACAAAGGTATAGCTGAAGAAGGTGACATCTGTATGGGGCGGGAAATGTGAGATGTTAGCACCTATAGGGAGGTCTGGAATCTAGCACAAACTCTGGCACCATTTGAAGTAGCTGGGCGTGGCCCTTCTTGTCTCAACAGGACAATCTGTTACACTGATTCATTGTCATCCCGTAGTGCCACTGATTTTGCCTGTACTGAAGATCCCAACCATTCTGTTTTCCCCAGTCTTGTGCTTGGTTGTCCAGTTAGGTGCCAACAAGTAGAATCACTATCCCCTCCCTACGTAATATAGCCATCTCACGTACACGATAAGAATGTATGAAAACAGTGCTGAAGCCCCACACTAGAACAGGATGGATGGGAATTACTCTTATGACTGACTGAATTCTCCCTTTCAACCATTCTTTCTTCCCCAGTCTTGTGCTTGGTTGTCCAGTTAGGTGCCAACGAGTAGACTCAGTATCCCCTCCCTACGTAATATAGCCATCTCACGTACAAGATAAGAATGTATGAAAACAGTGCTGAAGCCCCACACTAGAACAGGATGGATGGGAATTACTCTTACGACTGACTGAATTCCCCCTTTCTGGCCATACCATCCAGTATCCCACAACAAAGGGACGCAGAAGAGAGTGGTTTATTGATTAAAACAGTTAGGAACCGCCTTTCACAGAAATGTTCCAAAGCGATATACATAAAAATCTAGATCCATCTTAAGCCAGTGTCAGAATAACCAAACATCAAGTCCATCAGGGAAATCGAATCCATTAGAAATCCCTAACCACCTCAAACCGGAAGAACCCAATCAACCTTTAAGGAAAAGGCTTGTCGGAATACAGACCTTTCTAAGTATATGTAGAGAAGGTTGGGTCTGCGTCTCAACACCGTGTAGCGTAGAGGCAATTACAAGAAAGTGCCCTAGATTGGACTATCATTGGCTGACCTCACGCCCTTCACTGAGTTAACGAGGAGGAGGGGTGTGGGGGAAGGTACCATGACTTGGGGGCAGAGCATCT